TACTCAGCAATCTTTGACTCATTAGACGCAATGTTGCCCAAGTACGACACCAGGCGGGCCAAAATGGAACAGTTTTATTTTGTAGAGGAAATAAAGAACATTGTGAGTTGTGAAGGGCCAGCCAGGATGGAAAGGCATGAGAAACTGGACCAATGGCGCAGAAGGATGAGCCGTGCAGGATTCCAAGCTGCACCAATCAAGATGGTGGCTCAAGCAAAGCAATGGCTACAAGAAAATTATAAAGTTTGTGAAGGTTACACCATTGTTGAAGAGAAAGGATGTCTGGTTCTTGGCTGGAAGTCTAAGCCAATTGTCGCAGCTTCCTGCTGGAAATGTTAAGTCACAACAAGAATAAAATCTCCATTGGAGAAACCCAGATATCTCTGCTTTGCAATTTCAATAATGTTGTGTTGTAACGTTATGTGGTAGTACTACCAAGTTCCTGCACACACACACACACACATATATATATATATATATATATATGCAGATATTGTACTTGGGAGTGATCTTTTCTTTTCTTTTCCTTCCCAAATTTGAAGCTGTTCAGGTGATTGAACAGAGGAAATAAAGAAATGTACTGGTGGTTTTGTGTGCACATTGGAGGTGGGAGTTTCAAGTGTAGACAATTGAAAATTTCATTTATTCTTTAATTAATGACCAAAACTGATTTTTTTTTTTTTTGCATATTTTCAAGATTAAAAATGTTATATTGCCGTATTTTTACGTCCAATATGTCTATCGCAAAAAAAATAAATGTGCTAACTGATTGGCGAATGCTGTTTTCTTTTTACCGGTGAGTCTCTGTTCTCATATTCAAGTGTCGAATGATCTCTACCAGTTTTTCAGTGACTATATCATAAGTGTCTCTTGATTCAAGATTTGCATAATAATTTTTTAATTTTTTTTTAATTTTTATCTCTCTTCATAATTAAAAAAAATATATTATATTGCTCGAATTTTTTAAAAATTAAAAAAATTAGAATTTAATATATATGTATATAGAATTTTTTATTAGTTATTATTTAAATTATAAATTTGGAGTATTTTTAAATTTATTAAAAAATTTAAATAAAGTAGATTTTTTGTTGGAAAATTCAGATAAATAATAAATTGTTAATTTTTAATTAATTAAAAACAAATTAGACTTTATATAATTTCATTAATTATATAATCATTGAAATTATTAAAATTATATAATTATTTATTCAATTACATTTTATATTTAAAAATTATTTAGGAAAAATAAGGATATACATAAAAATATATATTAGATATTTGCTCGGTAAGGGTGCCGGTGTTGCACCGGCGGTTCTCCTACGTCGAATACGGCGCCAACCTCTCAAAATTTCCCCTTCAAACGTTGGAAAATCTATCTTAGGTTTAAACGTTCCTCCGTCCCCAATTTCATGATCACTTCATATTAGGGTTATCACTTGCTTCCTGCCTATTCGTTCTTGAGGATTCTTCCTCCGTTCATTGGCTGCAGTCTCAGCTGCCATTTCATTCTTTTTTAGCACCGAAAGTGTTTCCCTGACTTTGCTCATATCTTCTTCGTTTTTCTGAGAAATTTCGTCCTCCCTTTTTTCTTAACTGGCCGAGCTTTCGTGCTACTTACCCAATCCTATATTGTTGGGATGGAAGAGGAAACAAGGAGGAAGAAGAGGGAAGTGGAGGACAGAGTGATTCAAAGAGTTGGAGAAGTGATCGCAACAATCAAGAATGCGAAGCACGTCGACCAAGTGATTTGCGCTCTTCACTCCTTTGCTGTCCTTCTCTTTCCTATCGACTCCTCTCTTCTCTCAGGTAGCTCCAAATCACTGACATCTCTGTTTCATCCTCGTTTTCTCTCTTTCCGATTGTTCTAGGTTGAAGGTGTTTATTCTTTTCAAGCTCATAAATTGACTATTGTGGGATGATGAATAAAAATTTGAAAATTCCGAAACCTTAACGTCCGAGAAACTATTAGGATGATGTCATCTGTTTACTGGAAAAAATCACAAAAAATTGTTCTTATCTGGAAATTGAAATCAGTAATAGAACTATGTTTTACTTATTTGTTTAGTTATTTTCATCCCCTATGGATAGAAGGTGAAATAAGAACTTGTTTCTTCATGTTATCTTTCCTGCTAAATCTTTTGTGTTCTTTGCAGGCAGTATCGATCAACGCTACAAAGACCAGGTTTGTTTCATTCTTGTGCCGAACCTTTGTAATTTCTTGGCAATAACACTTTGGAATTGGACTTCAATTTGAGATGAAATGTTCATTGGCTACAGCTCTGCGGGGTCAAGGTCCCTTCTGAAAATGAGAGGGATGATTGTTGGTGGTCATTTTATCGGGGTCCTGCATTTCCGGCATTTGCTCGTGTTTTGTTACTTGGTAAGTTGCTTTACATGTTTCTGTTCTCTCATATTTAGCAACTATTGGTTACTGCACGGATATTGTCGATCTTCCCGTTTTTCTCAATGCCTTTTTCTAGGAGAGTCTTGCATATTACTTATACAGTTACTGTTGCATGCAGATATTGCTTCCAATTGGCTAGCTTGTTTCCCCTTCACAGCTCAAAAGCATGTCTACGATATTTTCTTTGTCAAAGGACTTCCCACGGAGGTTGTTCAAATTTTAGTTCCTTTTTTACAGCAGAAGGCAAGTGATGATCTCGATGCTAATTCTGTCCAAACTAATACAGAAAGGTACGATGAAAGATCCCTTTTAGTCAATAAATTTTGAAGTAATAAATGCTTCTTCATATCCAAAATTCCACTGTTTTTGTTTGGTTTGGGCTGCTCGTAAGAGCATGTTGGGTCTATGGATTCATCTGATCAGAACTCTGAAATACTTACTTTTACAAACTAATAAATATGTGCAAAACTATGCTCTTCCCTAACTTATTTGTCTGTCACATGGTATTCTGGAAAATGTGTGACCATATTTCTTCAGTACCATAATGATTGTCAATTAGCTTTTCGATTGTATTTCCTTTCTTTGCTTTTGAAGTATATACTACTTGTTTTTGCTGGTAGTTATTTTACCCAAACCTGCACTTGAATCCAGACAACTTCCATGGGAA